GACTTGTTCCAGCCAATCAATAAATCGGTTACCATCTATGGAGATAATCAAAGTGCTATCAAGTTGGCCAATAATCCAGTGTTCCATGGAAGAACGAAGCATATTGAATTGGAACATCATTTCATAAGAGAGAAGGTGCTTGATGGAACAATTGAAGCATTGGAGGTTCGAAGCGAGGATAACGTTGCTGATATCTTCATCAAGTCACTACCAAAAGGTCAGTTCGAGATACTCCGTTCAAAGCTCGGAATGGTGGACAAAATCAAGTTTAAGGGGGAGTATTGAAGTTAAACTTGATTTTGGGCTTTTCTTAATTATGGGTTCCAATAATTTTATTGGACTAAACCCAAAGTTAAGAAAGTTCTAGAATCCTTCTAGAAAAATCATCACCTCCTCAAGTACAATAATATCTAGATATTGTAGTAGAAAAATCTAGAGAACAAGAATAAAAATCTAAGAAGTAAGGAGGTTATAGTAGAATAATCTAGATATTTGTAAGGTAGTTTAGGAGGCTATAAATACCTCTTCACCATCCCATTTGTAAACATCACAAGAAGTTGAACAAGTAAAGTAATAAGAAAGTTTTCTTAAAAGAAAGAAAGAGTGTCTACTCAAAGTTCCCTAAATCCTTTTGAGAGTTCTTCCATATTATTCTTCATACTTAGAAGTTCTCTTGTTTCTTTCGGATCTCTCGGGTACTACGGTCTTGGGCTAGTGCTAAGCACTATCAATTTTGTTTGTTTCTTTACAGTTAATTATCCAATGGTGTGTTTCTTAATTGTTTTTGCTAGTGGTCCAAAACTATTACGTTTATATATACTGTATCATTTTAACGGAATAAACCAAGATAAACTAATGTGGTTTTGCGGGGAGATCTCAAAAGGTGTTGTCGTTCACAAGATCTCGGATCCATGTCAGGAAAAGTCAATTTATTGATGACGAAGTCAAGTAGACTTACTTTGATTGCATGTGACGGAACCTATGCACTGTACAAAACCATAAAATGTAAAATATCTAAAGTTCTGAGGTGTATAATCTCGTGAGGCTGGCCTTATTAGTCTATAGGTCTACCAACCAATGTACTCGAAACATAAATAATATCGTTCGTAATACCAACAAAAAAGTATCGGGGTCTTATACCTAACCAAGACGTGCAAAGATTTTATCACAATTATTTGACGTGGGAGTTAATGATTCAGCCAGCCTTATAATAATTCCTCGCTTAACGAGACTAGGCTCCTTTTGTATTTTATAAATGTCCGAGATCTTAATCTTTTTCTAGGTTTCATTTTACACCTATGAAAAGAGATTCTGTTCGTCCGGAATATAATTTAAAACGATATTATCAGAATCTTCTTTTGATTCCCTCACCCCCACCCTATTTCATTGTCAATTATATATCCACGTAACGTAACGTAACAGTAGAAGAACTTAATAAGGAATGGCTCGTAGATTTGGCTCACCCAATCAACATCCTGCGTTTTATCAGAACTCCGGTTCGAGATTTCTCTCATAAAAACTATAAACTGTACTTAAAAAACTATATACTATAGAATATATTGTTCAAGGGTGTTGCCTAACATATTCATGAGGAGAAAACGGTACTGGTTAATGGTTATAGTAGTGTCCACTATACATTGAAACTTTTGTTTTACTCAGGGGATTTTATATTGCCAATTGAACCAAGTTGAAGGAAGAACATACTCCCTACTTGTTTCTTTTTCTTTAGTTTTGTCATAAAATTGTAGCCTTTTAGAATATTTTTTTTTCCTTTTAGAATCTTTGATTTTCTATAGTTAAAAGAATAAGAGATATATCAACATGTAGCAAAATGAATCTATTTCGATGGACAATTATAAACATTGATAATTATTAATTTGTCCCTCATTTAGCAACAAGGGTCTAAAAATGGTAATTGATTCGCTATAGTCATCACACACAATGAAATGTTGGAAGAATCATTTCACTAAAAAAATGGCGAAGATACTATATATCAGCCATTATTTTGAAATTTGCAAAACCTCATAGAATCTTATTCGACCATTGATTTAACTAACATATAGACAAACAAGCAGTGTATTTCATCATTGTTTATTTCGCTAAATAAATATACATATATATATTCCAGCCTTGTTGTCAAATCAATGAAACAGATATTCCAGATAAAATCCTTTTTTCTTTTTAATACGTATAAAATATTTATTGACGAGATTCTGATTCTCTCAACGTGACGTTTGCTAAACCAAAAATAAAGTTTTGACTTTTACTTCTTTCTTTTTTTTGTCACAAAAAGTTTTGACTTTTACATAAATAGAAATTCACTGCACAAGTCATGTCATTGCTCTTTTGTTCTCTATGTACAAAGTGGTAGAATCTCCTCTCTCAAAAATCTCAATAATATTCACAAATATTCGTATTTCATTTATTTTTTCTCCGTGAAGAAGTACTTTCTGCTTCTTCTTCATCATCAGAGACATAACCCATCAGACATATTTGGTATTTACAACTTTCCTTTCTTTTATTTTTGTTCCTTATATCTCAGACAACAAACTGCAAGAAACTTCAGTTTATAAAGAGTTTAAAACCCCACTTGAGGAAGGAATCTTATATCCTGTTAGTTTTCTTTTGTTCCTTTTCTTCTTTGTTGTAGGTTTGTGAAAATTTCTTGAATAGTGAATGCTTCGTTTTTTCAGATGATGCTTCATTGATACTTGAAGTAACTGAACCAACAAAGCATAATTACATATCCATGGAAGATAGTTTTCTCCAAACCGAGAACTCTGTTATGGACACTGAGTTCATGGATGGATTGCTACTAGATGGTTGCTGGTTAGAAACAACAGATGGATCTGTTAGCCCTTTTGATCCATCTTCCTTCATGTGGCCTCCAACTCAAGATACATCATCTATCTGCACACAAGAACTAGTATCTCAGGTGTATGATCAGGATTGTGCTAGTCTTGATGAGTTTCAATGGAGCAAAAGTTGGTGGATTGAACCAGGAAGTGGTGGTTGTTCGGTTAAAGAGAGACTGGTTCAAGCAGTTGAACACATTAGAGATTACACAACAGAGAGAGGCTCACTTATACAGTTATGGGTTCCGGTTCACAGAGGTGGTAAGAGAGTTTTAACCACAAGAGAACAACCTTATAGCCACGATCCTACGTGTCAGAGACTCGCAAACTATAGAGAGATCTCTGTGAACTACCACTTCTCTGCTGAGCAGGATGATTCCAAGGCCTTAGCTGGTTTGCCTGGAAGGGTTTTCTTGGGGAAGCTTCCTGAATGGACTCCTGATGTTAGGTTTTTCAGGAGTGAGGAGTATCCGAGAGTCCAGCACGCTCAGGACTGCGATGTCCGTGGAACGCTGGCTATTCCGGTGTTTGAGCAAGGGAGTAAGGTTTGCTTGGGTGTTATTGAAGTTGTAATGACCACAGAGATGGTTAAATTAGCACCTGAGCTTGAAAGCATTTGCAGAGCACTTCAGGTTTGTGTCTTTCCCTAAAAACCTCTCTGCTTTTGATATTCAAATGGTTTCTCTAAAAGGTTATTTTCTTTACACAGGCAGTTGATCTTAGGAGCACTGAAGTTCAGATTCAGCCTTCTCTAAAGGTAATCAAATCCCCTATATATTAATTGAGAAACATTTGAAAAGATGTAACCTCAAGTTTGTATTAATTAAAAAGTAATCTTGCTTAGTTGTCAATCAATTAGTATATCAATTAAACTGACGTGGCGGCTTTAGATTCAATTGAAATTTGCTAGGGAAAAATAATTAGAGACACATATAACGCATGTAACATAGTTTATATATTTATATATATCGCACACATGTAATGGAAGAAAAGGAAAATATACGATTTGATAACGATTTGCATATATTAACTATAATAACTTCATTCCTTTTAATTTATGGAAGTGTATATGTAAAATGGAAAATACTTANTTATTATTTTATTATTTATAATATGCAGAAAAATATAAAAGAAATAATAAATATAAAATACTTATTGTGCATAAAGTGCAGATCTTAACCTAAGTATTTATCTGTTTAATTATTTTAAAACTTAAATATTTTCTAAATTTCAGGTCAAAACAAACAAACGAAATGAGAATAAAATTCAAAATAAATATTTATATCGAGTGATAACCAAAATATAAAAAAAACATAGCAAGAGAAAAATGGAAGATAAATAGGATTGACACGTGAACGTGGACTTCTCATAACTGGAAAATAAATAGGATTGACACGTGAACGTAAACTTCTCATAACCATAATTAATTTTTAAATTGTTAAATCATGATATAAAACTGAGTTAATTTTTAATTTGTTAACTTTTAATTTTTTTAATTTTTTAAATCATTATGGCTATGTTAAATCATGACAATAATTAATTTTAAATTGTTTATTTGTATTCGAAAACTTAAAATATTGCTTTTAAAAATAATTTTAAATTTAACATAATTTTTTAGAAAATTATTTTTTAAAAATATAATTTTCTAATATTATTAGACAAATAAATAAATTATATTAAGTTAGTTTAGAAACTTTATATATTTTAATTGCAAATATTTTACCAATTGCTTCTTTAAAAACATTAGGGAACTTGCTATACTCTACCAATCAAGCCCAGTGACACTCCATTTATTTTCCATCACTCGAACATTGAAAAGTAAAAAGATATATGAAATCAGATCCATTAAATTCTAAGATTTGATTTACATTTCTAATTAAGATTGTTTTTGATCATACGTATAGATAATTATATAAAAATTTCAAAATTCTAAAATTTCAAATACATACAAAAACAATCATATGTAAATTTTAAATTTGTGAATATTAAAATTTTATATTTTAATTACATATATTCACCCTGCGCAAGGCGCAGGTCTTATCCTAGTAAACTATTATCAAGTCTGAAATTTAAAATGATTTGATTTTTAAATGAGTTTTAAATGATTTTAGCTGAATTTGAGGTTAAATCACTCTATCTATTCATCTGAAACCAAAAGATTTTGATTTTATTTTTTTCAAATTAATACTGCCCTCAAATACTATAGAAATACTTAAAACACTCTAAAATCTGTAATTTTTTTTCTTTCAATAACAGTGCATTTTAGAGCATAAAATGACAATTTAACAATAATGGATTTTAAAACGTTTTTAAAATTCCACATTTGAATAACAGTTAATTATGTTTCAAAATAAAAAATAAATAACAGTTAATTTTTTATTTTAATATAATTCACAGCAAACCGTTAGTTGAATCCACCCTATGTTCTTTAGAATCTTTTTTTTTTTCCTATAGAATCTTGTTTTGGTATAAATCAGATTCTTCTTTGTTACAGGGATGTGACTTATCCTACAAAGCTGCATTACCTGAAATCAGAAACCTCTTGAGATGTGCTTGTGAGACACATAAACTCCCTCTAGCTCAAACATGGGTCTCTTGTCTCCATCAAAGCAAAACTGGGTGCCGTCACAACGATGAGAACTACATCCATTGCGTGTCAACCATTGATGATGCATGCTATCTTGGTGATCCAACAGTCCGTGAGTTTCATGAAGCATGCTCTGAGCATCACCTCTTGAAAGGACAAGGAGTTGCAGGACAAGCCTTCTTGACCAATGGACCTTGCTTTTCACCTGATGTCTCTAACTACAAGAAGTCCGAGTACCCTCTCTCTCACCATGCTAATATGTTTGGTTTGCATGGCTCGGTTGCAATACGCTTACGTTGCATCCACACGGGATCTGTTGATTTCGTCTTGGAGTTCTTTTTGCCTAAAGACTGTGATGATGTAGAGGAACAGAGGAAAGTGTTGAATGATCTTTCTACTATTATGGCTCATGTGCCTAGAAGCTTAAGGATTGTTACAGATAAGGAGATAGAAGATGAGAGTGAAGTGATAGTGACGCCAAAGATAGAGAACACAACGGAACAAACCTCATGGAGCACCTCCCTTGAAGAAATCCAGCAGAGTTATAATAGTAATCCTCAGAATCTTGGATTAGTATTTGACGTGGGAGACAAGCTAAGTGAGGTATTTGACTTGAAAAGAGGTTTTGGTTATACCAAAGATTCTAATGTCAATGAGAGCACCTCTTTCTCCAGTGGTGAGGTCGAGAAAAGGCGTACAAAAGTAGATAAGAGCATCACAATGGATGTTCTTCGACAGCACTTCGCAGGGAGTCTGAAAGATGCAGCCAAGAGTATCGGTGGTAAGCAGCATTGTTCTGTTGTTTACTATTCTTGGATCAGAAAGTCATATGATTGATCTCTTGTTTTCTTGTCAGTGTGTCCAACGACTTTGAAAAGAGCATGCAGGCAACATGGTATACAGAGATGGCCTTCAAGAAAGATCAAGAAAGTGGGACATTCTCTTCAGAAGATCCAACGAGTGATTGATTCTGTTGAAGGTGTTTCAGGTCCTCTTCCCATAGGCACCTTCTACGCAAGCTTCCCTCACTTAACTTCACAGGAACCATCAAAAGAAGCCAAAGCCTTGCCTCCTCGGCCACCATTGCAGCTTTCAAAGTCACCTGTTTCCCCATACAGTCACAGTTCAAGCTCCAGCCAATGTTGCTCCAGCGACACAACAACAACAACAACAACAAATCTTTCCCAAGCTGATGTGGGAGATGTATTAACTCTCTCTGGTTTAGAAAACATCCCTCACTTGTTGTCATCATCTCAAGATGATGAGTTTCTAAGGATTAAAGTTAGCTATGGAGAAGATAAGATCAGGTTTCGGATGCCGAACTCACGCAGGTTAACTGATCTACTCTGGGAGATAGGGAAGCGGTTTAGCATAGATGATATGAGCATGTATGATCTTAAGTACTTGGACGAAGACAATGAATGGGTTTTGCTGACTTGTGATGATGATGTAGAAGAGTGTGTCGATGTCTGCAGAGCCACACCAAGTCATACCATTAAGCTTATGCTTCTTGTTTCTTCAGCCACAAGTTACAATTCATGGCAATGACCTTTTGTTATGTTACTACAATTGTTCATAATTTTAATTTTAATTTTATTTACATAATTGTCATATTCATATGAATGATAGGAAAAAAAATACGTATACGAAACTAATAATAACATTTACCAAATAATATATATATATGCTAGTTTTGTTGGAAAGACCAAATAAAACATTTTTACAGAACACCAAACTGAATGTTCTTAAAAGAACTCAAGATTCTTTAGTGTGTGTGTGTTTCTAAGAGTCACGTCGCGGTGTTCTTCTGACATCAGGTGACGTGGAGGAGACGTTACGAGCTTCATGAGACTGACTCTGTGCGGCTAAGTACTCAAGTGCCACCACTATGTCACCTATAAACGGTCGATAATGAGCTTCCTCGTTCAAACACATTGCGATGATCGCAATCGCATAGTTTAAACATCTTCTTGGGTATTTTCCTCGTAGACAAGGATCCACCAAGTGTCCAAACTTCTTCTGATCCTTGAGGTATGGACGTGACTGCAGAGACAGTAAAAAAAAAAAAGGTTAAAAAACGAAAGTAAATCTGGTTTAATCCGGTTTACTTACCCAAGCAACAAGATTCTGCTCTCCTTGCTTTTGACTCAAGTCAATAGCTTTCCTCCCAGTAACAAGCTCAAGCAAGACTACACCAAAGCAGTAAATATCCGATTTAACGGTTAGTTTCCCGCTCATAGCGTACTCTGGAGCACAGTAACCGTAAGTTCCCATGACACGTGTGGAGACATGAGTTCTATCTCCTACAGGACCGAGTTTCGCTAGTCCGAAATCAGAGAGCTTGGGGCTAAACTCTTTGTCTAGCAATATGTTTGCGGATTTCAAGTCGCGGTAAATCACTGGCGGGTTTGCTGTGCAGTGAAGATACTCTATTCCTCGAGCCGCACCTACCGCGATTTTCATGCGTGTGTTCCAAGTTAATGGTTCTTGATTTGGATCAAGATCTGAAAAAAAAAGAGAGTCAAGAACTTGAAAAAACATTTGTATTATAATGGAGAGAGAGATAGTTTAAAGGAACTAACCAAAGAGGTGATCTTCTAAGCTGCCCATTGGCATGTATTCATAGACAAGAAGTCTTTGATCACCAGAAGTACAGTAACCGATGAGTGTAACGAGATTCGGGTGGTGGAATAAGCTAAGCATAAGAACTTCAACTATGAACTCTCGGTTCCCTTGTAGCCCATCTGGATTCAGTTGTTTAATAGCCACCACCTGCTTTCATTAATCAAATTACATTAAAAAGTCTAATTAAAAGAAAAAACAGATTAATCTTTTGAAGGAAGATGGAGAGAGAGAGAGATCTGACTTGTCCTGAATCTAGACGACCCTTGTAAACTCTCCCGAAACCTCCTTCTCCTAGCAAATTAACTTCACGGAAGTTTCTTGTTGCTTCAGCTAACTCTTTAAAAGTGAAACTCCGAGCTCCACCATCAGGTTTTGGACTGTTGTTGTTCACCTTTCCGTTTACTGTTTTCAAATTCCGACAAGAACTTAAACTCAAAAAAAAATGTAATGAAGAAACAAAACACAGTTTAAAAAAAAAAGGATGTGATTTTTAAAAAACACTACATTATCTCACTTAAAATACCTGAAATCGACTCTGTTCCTGTCGTTTCACTTCCATGAACTGTAATCACAAATGCATACAACACTTAATACATTATTAAAAAATAGTAATAATAATAATTCAGCTTTCATGAAAGTGTTGAAAAGGGAAAAACCTGATGAATTGGGGCGAGGGGTATCAATGTCGACTCTGATGTCCTTGGTTCGAGGATTCAAACAAGAGAAGCAAGTCATCTCTTTTCTTTTTCTTGAGGAAAGGATTCAAGAAATGGAGCTGAATCAGAGCTCCAGATATATGCCACACCAGACACAAACCTAGGATTCAAAGAGGTTGATTTACTCTGGATAATTCCAGGAAACAAAAGAACAAAAAAAACGTTTTGGATCAGTAAAGTGAATTATTGAATCCCCCTCCCACCAAAGAGAAGATCCAAATTTGTGATAGATTGCAGGAAGAGAGAGAAAAGCAGATAGAATTTTAGTTTTTTTTCTTTTTAAATAAAACAATATACAAATAATGAAAGAAATAAATAAAGGAGCTGAAGAGTTACTAAAATTATACTACAAATTCTATCTAATCACGACAGAAAATGACAAGGATCATATGAAACAAGAAAGAAAGAAAAAAACAAAATTCAGCACAGGAAACGGGAGAGATAATCACGGAGTTTTTGCAACCGCTTTTAGTTTTGGGTTCTTCTACCTTCTTCTTCTTCTGTAAAATTAAAACTCTTTTTCTTTTAGTTGGAGCTACTAAAATTTAAGTGGTAGAAGACGACGAGTTTCGTTTTGTTCTTTTCCATGTAGGACCTCTCTTTTAAAAATTAATTATTAGTTTTTTTCCTTATTTTATCGTCTTTCAAATTTTAAAATTAATTTCCGCCCAAAAAAAATGTATAATATCTTCTCATCATCATCATCCTCAACTCTCTTGCTTCTCTGGCATTTAAACGGTCAGGTCCACCCTCGTGTACTAATTTACAATTATACCCTTCCTAACGCTTGGCCAGTCTCAAGTTCCCGTAATACCCTCGGCTTGACCCGTCACTTAAATGAAAAACAGTACAGTGTCTGATGAGGAGATTCCACGAGGCCGACAGTGAATGCTCGGTTCTTATCTCAACAAATGGACGGTCCTGATTCTTAAGCTTGACCTTACGGTTCCTTTGTGGGTCCTACTAATTTTCTTTAGTTAGTGGTCACACACTATCCTCTCATATCCCACTTTGACTTTATTCACCTCCGTTTTAATTTAATTTAATTTCAATTACTTGCTAATGAACTGTAACAAATACTAGCATTTTACTTATTGAGCTAACATTCAAAGCCGTTTAAAATGGTGGTGAATGGGTATAAAGTAATATTCGGTTTTGATGCGAGGATGACATCCAACATGTAATTAAATTTCTCTGTTTTTTAGCAAAACGTTGGATGTGATTAGGAAGAACCAAAATAATGTAATTGTGTCTTTGACTAATTTGGCGATACAGCTGATCTTGGAAAGGGAAAATACCAAATCTTCCTAATGACAATTACTTCTTTTGTTTTATTTATCATTTGTTTTGATCTTTTTGAAAACATGTTTATTTTATTTATTGAGAGTGGATGAACAACTAACAAACCATGTGTGTCACTGTGTTGATTGTACAAATAGCAATCTGACTCAGAAATTGATGTACAAAGACACACAAGTACAATCGACTCTACGTGTAAACGCACTCGAGATAGATATAGGGTCCGAATGGTGACGGCGGAATTGGTATTAAAAGCGGTGCGGAATTAAAGTGCGGGACGGTCTAACTGCAGTTCGTGCGGTTTGCGGGAGAAGTGCGGTGTTAATAATATTAGCGGTGCGGAATTGTGTTGATTGGTAAAAATATGTTATTTGCGGAATTGAACAGTTTAAAATATTTTTAAAAAAATTGTAAAATGTTATATATCAATGCAATCAATACAACTTAAAACTATAATTTTTCGATTTAGTGTTGTTACTGGTGTAATTTCTTTTTGAAAATTAAATACCAAAATTCATATGAATTAAATATTTAAGTTACATCTTTTTGGTCAACAAACATTTGAATGACATATATAAAATAAAAAACTAAGTAAAATATATTTTTTATATTTTTAATGCATGTTTTATGAACTAATTGTAAACTTCAAAAAACTTAATTGCACTAATTGGTTTTTATTGGTTTAAAATTATGGAAAGAAGATAAATACAAAAAACTATGTAAATTTATTTTGTTTTATTAAAAGTGTGAAAAAACTAAAATATAGATCTTTTACGAACACAAGAAATATTATTTTTAGTGTTTTAGTTAACCAATTATTTTGTAACAGATATATATTAAAATTGTTAAACAGATGTATTAAAACAAGTTTATAAAATTAAAATAAAGTATGATAAATTAAATAATAAATACAATATAAACAGTACAATCAAAAACGCACTTCAACCACACCAAAATTGATGCGTTACACATTCAAGTGCGTTTTTTAATAAAATAGAACAAACAAAAACAGTTTTTTGTTGAGTGCGTTATTTGACCAAATTTGACCAAATACGCCTTTTCTTAATTGTATTAGCTGATTGGTAACATTCTAAATACCGCTTTTGCACAGTATCAAATACGCCCCGCACCGCATGCACCATTCATAACCATAGACTCACCCCTATAAATTTATTTTCTTAATAATTTGTTATAGAACTTTTTAAGACATCGATATTCACCAAAAACTCGAATGTTGTATAGAATCTAGAATTCAAGCAACTCGACTGTAAAAACTCAAATAATAAGAATAACTCTCTTATTAATCTCTTAAGGAAAATAACTCAAAACCTTAAGCTCTCTCAAACACAATCTCTTAATCTCTAGACTCATAAGTTATGCAACATCATATGCATCTCCTTATATATAACTCACAATTTCCTAAACTCATTAGGAATNACTCAAAACCTTAAGCTCTCTCAAACACAATCTCTTAATCTCTAGACTCATAAGTTATGCAACATCATATGCATCTCCTTATATATAACTCACAATTTCCTAAACTCATTAGGAATCACAAATAGATAATTTCCTATTCCATAACTCGGTAGGAAATAAATAGCTTGCTCTCCAAGCTACTTCAAGCTTATCCCAACATTCTCCCCCTTAAGCTTGAACTTATCTTCACACACTTCATGTACTCCAATCAGTCGCCTCATCTCCGTGAGCTTCAATTTCCCAAATGCTTTCATAACAATATCGCTTCTCTGTTCACTCTCGGATGTATACCAATGTAACTCTTGAATCCATATAGCTTGTTCCACAGCTTCAGTCCCTGCTATGTTTTCAGCTTCACAAGGCGATAACACAACAGTCTCTATACTGCTTGTGAACCACCTAATTGCACCTTTACCAACGTGATAAATATGTCTTGTAGTTCTCTTGCCATTATCCGAATCAACTCTATGACCTCTTTCACTATCTTGAACAATTGGTATCTTAGAAGTTGCACGTATCTTTATTACAGTTCCACGGAAATATTCCAACACTTGTTCTATCACTGCTCCACGAGATTCCTTGAGCTCTTGCATATCTCTACTCAACACCCCAACACCGTAAGTCAACTCTGGCCGTGTACAAAGTAAAGATCGAAGACATCCCATGCTTCTTTTATATATTCTTTCATCGATACTCTTTTCTGCATCAGATCTCGACCGCTTAAGACTCAAATCCACTGCCACATGTGATAGACTGCAGTCACTTATTCCAGTTTCTAAGATCTTTTGTGCATCTCTCTCTTGCTTGAGAACGATGTCTCCTTTATGTTCATGTACTGCCGTCTCGAGATAATATGTTAATTTGCCACGATCAAACATCTCAAACTTGGCTGTCATATTTGTCTTAAACTCAAGTATTGATCTCAGTGATGAACCAGTTCCAAGCAAATCATCTATAGCCATGATAAGAAGATTTTCCTTTTCCTCTTTTTGATTCAACGACAGTTCCGTACACACTTCTATCCATATCGTCTCGATCATTACCACCACTAAACGTTCACACTCTGTTTCTCTGATCAGAACATAAACATTCAGATATGCTAGCCTCACTCTTACTCTCGTTGATCTCTTTAACTGAGGTTGTGCCCATTCTTGTTCTTCATTACCAATGTCATTACTATCTTTTTCTTCTTGATTTGTCATGTTCTCACTCATACCTCGAGTGTCTTGGCAAATTTCTCCTGCTGATGGAAGATCTTCAACTCCCCTTAAGCCATCACTGTCTAACTCTCTCAAGTCTTTAATAAAATATGTTCTGGAATCCATAGAACATTCTTTTACCGCAGAATATCTCCTTACATAACCAGTGTAGCCAAGAATTCTCATCACCTTGATCTTCGGTTTCAACCATTCCAGTCCTTCATATGGGGTTTTCTCAACTCTCGACCTTACTGCAAGTTTATTAAATAAATAGGTAGCATATATCACATTCTCTCCACGTAGATAGGCTAGATAGCTAGTTATACTCATGTAGATCAAGATACTCTCCACATAGATAGCTGGGTACACTTTCGTTTCTTGTCCAACAAGTATCTCAAATTTCTTGAACTTGTCCAATGCATCCCTCTTCTCTTTCCCACAAAGATCTTCATGAATAAGCTTGAGAGGTTGGGTGGATTGGTACGGGGTTGTTTGTGGGAAGTACTGCCTCGTTTCTTTACCAAGTAGACATGAGTCACATGTCTCCTGTTCTACTTTAATGCTTGGTATGCCAACAACCGAGTCTTTGTTTGTGGGAAGTACTGCCTCGTTTCTGGACCTGTTTGTTTTCACCAATAATTGTCCTAAGCGTTCATAGACCATCGGCAGATTATTTTTACTCCGTACTTCACATCCAGCTTTTGTGTCTTTGGCAAGACTCGTAATGTTGTTCTTTAACTTAAGTATGTAGGACATATTTTTCAAGATCTTCTTCCTCCCATCTTGGAACGCAAACAGTACTAAACCCTTTCTCTTAATATCAGTACGTGTATCAGATCTAAATCGTACTTTTCCCATGATTGTTTTATCAGTACGTCTTCCTCTCATGTTAAAACTCGCACCAGTTCCATCACTGCTTGGCTTCACCTTTTGAACGTTTAGATACACCACCTTGTGTATCCTCAACTCATGGGCTTCTTGAGATTCATCATCCTCTTTCTCAATGGCTTCTTGAAGGACAAGCAGTATAGTATCTCTTTCCTTATCACGTCCTTGCTTGTTTGATCTGTTCTGATAGCTACAAATATCTCTTTCTTTATCATGCTCTTTCTTGTATAAACCGTACTGATAGGTACAGAATCGTCCACAAACTCTTCGTCTCCAGTTAGAGAGACATTCTTGTCCTCTTCCTCTGCTACTACCGTAGTTCTCTCTATGGGTTTGTTGCAAGTCCATGTTAGCGTACACTAATCTGTGCTGTTCATCTTGTTGTTCGTCCTCCTCTTCATCGTTTCTCTTTTCATAAGCTTTTAGCCTACCACCAAAGTTTTCAAATCTTGTGTCAAGGACGATGTGTCTGTATCTTTTCTTAGGTAAACTATTCAAAAAATTTATTGCAGGTTTTGATTCTTCTTCAATAGTTTCTCCAAGAGAAGCTGCTTTGGATGTATATTCTGGAAGTTTTCCAACAAATACGTCGACTGTGTTTTCATCCTTCATCTCAATTTTGTCAAATTT